GTCAGGGAGGTATGATATCCACTTCAGCCTTCTCCATCTAGTGCTTGGTGGACCTTGGAAACGTTTCTTACCTTTTTCTCATCAGCACAACAGTGAGTATAAGGATATCTCAGAGAATGCTTATGGAAGAACAGATACCATGGACCTAGTGTCCAGGATCTGGTGTTATTTGAAAAACACCATTTATTTATTCATTCATTCACATAACAAGTCCCAAAAGAATTCTAAGGAACTCACACAATATATAAAACAAATCAAAATACCTTAAATGTATATGACAAGAGAAATATGGTGGCAGAAATAAAGAAGACATAAAATTGGGTGAATAATTACATGAGTAAACAAAATACCATGAAATGTTACATACTTGCCAAAATTGAGCCCCTGATATGACTGAGAAGTCCAGTGAAAACAAAGGCTTCTGTGTTATGAGGATCAAATTTGGCTATATAAACAGAAGAACTAAAAATAAAAAGTGTTCATATCCAAGTAGAGATTACTTTGTCTCCCTCATAAGAAAAGAGGGGCTGGCACAACGCCTCTCTGTTAACACAAAGGACAAGAGTTTATTTCATCTCTCTGCTCCCCATCCATAATGTATGGTTTTCCAAGATATGTCAGCTGCAGGAGTCCCATTGCGATGTGCAAATTCCAGACTAGAAGATGATAGAAAAGGAAAAGGCTTCTCAAGAGCATTCCAGTATTCCCACTTACCCACTTAATATACTGTAGAGACTAACCATGATTACAAGAGAAGGTGGAAAACAAGGTATCTGAGGTGGGCATGCGACCACTGCCAAATATAATCAGTTTCTGTGAATAGGGGAGAGGAGAATAGATGTTGTATAAGCAATCTCTGGCACAATGATCACTTACAAGATTCACAGTATCCATAACATTAAGACAAACGCTTGACAGAAACATGACCCTTCCTGATGCTAAGGCAAAAAAGACATTGATCTCCCTAATTCTCCTGAAATGGTCACATTGTATGATGGAAGGAGCAATGTCTCCGGCCAATTTCTTTAAGGGGTTGCAAAAATATTTTAAGACTCAAGTGTTTCTTAAGGTAGGCTAGAGGCATCCCATATGAAAAGAGTCACTCTGTCAGAGAGGTTACATCATGGCTCAGGTTTTAAGGTATTCTGAAAAGGTCAGCAACAAACCTTGATTAGAGTTAAAAGAGTGACAAGAGCATTCAGATTCTCCAGTAGAGGCTTATTGAGCCTCCTTGGTTAACTCTACTAGCATTAATTTGGTAGCTCTAATTAACAAGTCATCATCTAAATTTTTAGAATGACCTGCCTCTCTATATTTCTTTGAGCTCTTAGAATTTTTATGTACCAATCATATAGGAATTTGGGGGGTATTTTGTTGGTTTTTTAATTAATTTATTTTTTATGGTGACGTTAGTTAACGAAATCCAATAAGTTTTAGCTGTACATTTTAACAGTAAGACATATATATATTTAGACTGTGTTTTCACCTCCCATAGTTAGATTTCTTTCTGTCACCACATATTTGACCCCCTTTACCCCATCTACCTACCTCCTCTCTGCCCCCTTTCCTCTACCCTCTGGTAACCACTAGTCTATTGGCCATGTCCATGAGTTTCTGTTTGTTTGTCCTGTTCGTTTGTTGCTTTGAGGTGTATATCCTACATATAAGTAATATCATGTGATTTTCAACTTTTCCTGTTTGGCTTATTTCCCTTAGCATGATTATTATAAGGTCCATCCATGTTGTCGCAAATGGCAGTATTTCATCTCTTCTTATGGCTGAGTAATATTCCATTATATATATGTGCCACAGCTTTTTTAGCCAATCATCTATCGTAGGACACTTCAGTTGCTTCCATGTCCTGGCCACCTGCTATAGACATCAGTGTGCAAATATCTTTTCAGATATGGGTTTTCAAGTCTTTGGGGTAAATACCCAGTAGTGGGATTGCTGGATCATGTGGTAGATCAATTCTT